CAGATAGTTTGTATTAATTATATAATGTCCCAGATATATATTTACAGTTCGGCTTTCACGTTCATATGCACGGTCTAAAAGCCAGAAGTGCACAGGGGCAAGGAGAATCGGCTACACGCTCTATCTCGGTCCTTCCAGGCACATATCGCCGAGCCTCCGTGTCCTGAGGATTCAGTAAATGTGTTTGTACATCTCATTTCATAGCATGCCGTTTTGCTTGCGTTCTTTGTTACGCGACTCGGCTAACAATAAGGATGTGCCAAGGACTGAGGCGTCACGGTTGTCATAGCTATTAGGTCGAGCGCCGCGAGTGGACGTCTCCACTTGTCCTTGTGCCCTTGTATCTTTTTGATCGCGGCTATGAACGTGAGAGGCGCACTGTAAAGAAAGTTACTTAAATATTTTTATTGCATTTCATGATATGATAACTGTAGTTTGATATATCTGATTGCTTCTTTGAGAAGGGGTATTGTAAATGAAGAAAACACTATTTTCAAGATTGAAAACTAAAAACATAATATGTTTTCTTCTACTTTGTCTCAAAGTAACTTCAGTCATTGGTTTAATGTGCCGTATTTCAAACAATCGACAAGGTATCAAAATTTAATGTTCAACTGTTGTACATTTGCACTTAGATTATATGGGTAAGAGTGTACACACGATTCGAACCTATCGTGTTCTACAATTAATTATCCGTCCCATTAATAAAAGTTCCTTAATAAAGTGAGGGGAACAAGAAATTTAATAATTCTGTTTTATGAGTCTCTGAGCGAGACTCTGTTTCGCCTGCGAGGGGTGTAAATGATTATATCTCGCGACGGAGAATCGGTTTGGGCCGAGCGCGACGAGGAAGGCCGAAACGCGTCGACCATTGGCCGAAAGAATCGTTTATTTCCCCGTGTTATAAACTTTTAAGGTCTGAGAACTTAATTAAAATCTACTGGCCAAGTTTCGGTGGAATCTCTTTCGAAAGAAATATTCTCCCCGCCGACTCTTTCATCTAACAAGAAATCCGTTCAACAAGTGGGACCGTAAAACCGTCAAATATAATTCACCCAAGTTGCAGTTATGAAAATCTTCTAACTGTTGAAATGAAGTAATTATCTATGCATCGCGTTATCGAGCACGATATCAACCAATTTTGTTAATGATTACTCTATCTTTAAAGAATTTTATGTTACACGACTGAACCGTCTAATTCACTTATACAAAAGAAAGTTGCTTAATTAATAATGTCCGACACCTGTCCAATACGAAATACAAGTATTAATGAGGAATGAAAATATAAATTTTATAATAATACGTATTTATATAAAGTATGAATTTTGCTGACCAACTATATTTACTGGTAGTAAATCAATTTTCTAAATTAACGTGGTCATTTAATGATCTCGTGTTTATTGTTTTGTCATTCCTTTATTTTAGATACAAGATAATTACCACTGAAATGATTAAATAACGAGAATAACTACGTAATAAACGAATAAATAAAGTAATAACTACGAGATAAAATAACATGTAATTCGAAATAACATTTCAAAGTTCTCGTTTGAAGTCAAAATAATTGTCTTTAATTATCTTATTTCATAATTACCGAATTTATAAAAGTATTTATGTGAAAAAAATATTCTTACTATTTTCATAAAGAATTGCAAATACTTGGACACATTAAACGGTTTATTAATTGTAATCAATGTTATAAAGAAACACTATTATAAAGAAACAATTAATATGCAATCCCTTTAGATTGTATATAACACGAAGAATGTAGAATATGTACTCATGAAATGGGCACAGAATATGGAATCTAAATATTTTGTTTCTGATAAATTTTATACAGTGTCCGCATGTATTCCGACAGCAGTTCAATATGAATAACACCAGTGAAAAAATATGACTGATGTGGTGCTATGTCGGTACCGGATAGAATTCGATTTTTAACAAGCGAGTTGTGTACGGGGGATACATCTGTGGTAGAAACACCGTCCTGATTTCTCTGGAGTATTCTTTTTTTTTGCAACGTACACCGCTAGCACGCGATAGTTGATAAATTGCCAATATTGATGGCTTCCGGCGACGTTTCGCGAATGTTGGCAGTAATTAAATAAATACGCGTGAACAAATAAACGAATAATTTGCACGGTATTTCTATTAGAGTATATCATATACTGATTGTTATAAATTATTCATTGCAATCATAATTAGTAAACATTAAGTGTTAGATGTTACACCAGCGACAGAATTGTAAATATTTACATGTATCTCTTATTAAATACACTAGAAAATATACTTTAAAAGAGGAAGTATTGTCGTTTAAGTATTTAAGAAACGAATGGATCATTCTTTTAAAATGTCAATATTGTAGACTGCAGATCCTTATGGGTTTACGGAATTCATGTATTTCTGGAATTCAGTAGAGCATTTACACGTCGATTATTAAATCAATTAATACAGTTGTACGTATATGTACCCACTACAATAAAAGTCTTGAACAATTCAAGAAAATGGATTTTAAGGAATTCCAAGGTAGTATTTTGATATAACGAAAAGAATATAATATGAAATTATTATACATTAAATGATGTTAAAACGTTCTTTGCTATATATCAATATTTTATGCTGTATCATTAATAATATTGACAATAGTTGAACAATTATTATACAGTTCAATGAAGTACAGTATCTGATTTGGTTGTAGGCAACGGGAAATCAAGTGTCAGTCATAGATGATTATATCAAATATAGCAAGATGTCAGGAAATATTGACTACTTGGTAACTCTAATATTAAAATTTACATTTGATAAATATGTTCACAATACAAATGTACAAAATCCGCAGTCTTCTCGTGAAAATGATTAGCATAATTTTAAAGAAGTGTTGCACTTTATTGTAAAATATCAAATAGTAATAGCTGCCATTAAAATTTTGATCCGTTCAGAATGTAATTAAGCGAAAGAAGTCTGATGGAATTGTTGTTGAATAAATATAGGTCCACTATAAAGCAACCTAACGGAAAGCACATGCCACTTTGGTAATTGAACCCTGCAGCAATTAGTAAGTAGGCCTATTCGTACTGATTTCTCACGGTCACTAAAAATACATGATTCTATGCTAACTAAACTCATGAATATGACAAATACTTATGTATACGACTACGTACAGGGTGCTTCATAAGTACGTTTTAGAATTTCACGCACACGACTACTATGAAGTGGATAGAAGAGTATAAAAGTAGAAAACTCTGATCCCCGTTTACTTTTACTCCAATGTACTCTACTGTGTTCATTAATATTTATATGGAAGTAGTAAATTCTATTGCATAACGACAACAATTATGTTTTCCAACGAAACTTACGCAAAAGAAGGTTAAGGAAAATTTTATTAAAATTGATAGATTATTTGCATACGTTTACTGCATATCTAAATTATTACCTTTAACGAATAACTGAAATTTCTCTGATAATAAATTCCATATATTTACAAATATATAATATACACACATCTAACATCTACTTCAATCAATCTTCTAAATGTAACTCAAATACATTCAGTGCCATTAAACCATGTATTTCATCTTTCATTCAACAAAACAACTGCATAATAAAATCAAAATCTCCACGTGATTAATTAAAAAAATGACTCATCCATTTATGACTCTACAATAATATAGTAATACAACACCACTAAAATCTCATTTATTTCAAATCAAAAACCCTTTACTTTACCCCCTGCCAATGATCAAAGGAAAACGAGAACACCCCATCATACAATATACAAAACCAGAAATTCAAGATCATTCGGGAGTGATCGATAATCCCGCGAAGTTGAAAAACAGTTGAAAAACCGAGTACATGGGAAACGCCACTCTACTACTTCCATATTCGTCTGAACCGGAAGCACTTTGCACCCGCGCTCGCGGTGAACGGGCCCGGTGCTCTACTGCGAACCAGTGAGACAGCGAACAGCGGCGCAGGAAAAGGAAGAAGGAGGAACGAAGAGAGTCAGGGAGGAGAGGAC